CTTGTGCTACAACTGCATTTCTGTGCACTTACAGTATACTAAAAGTGGGTAAAACCTGAGCTCTATCATCCCCCCCCCCCCCCCCCCCCCCCCCCCCCCCCCCCCCCCCCCCCCCCCCCCCCCCCCCCCCCCCCCCCCCCCACCCCCCCCCCCCCCCCCCCAATGTCCTTATTGACAAAAACTTGTAGGACAGAGTAAGGAGAAACATAGTCCTCTCCATAGAGAAGTGTATCTAACTCAGCAATGGCAGCATCATTCTCTTCCTTACTTGGCATAGGAACACTAGAAATTGCATTGCAGAAGTTTTTGGGGTTTGCTTCAGAATTTCCAGGAAGTTGAGCTGGAGACCTTGATGTAGTAGCAATGTATTTGTTGTTCTCCAAAGTCTTCACTCTAGAGGCCAAGTTATCAATATTGGTGGTGAGCTCTCCATATTGGCTATCAATCTTATTATGAACATTAGCAAACTACTTGGCCATGTCCATGTTTTGTGTTGCTTGGCCTCGAAGTAGTTGATGGAGAATCCCTCTGATTTCAGCATCTTGGGGATTGGAGTGGGAAGTTTGGCCTTAGGGAACAAAACCTAGTGGAGCAAAGGTTGCCTTGGGGTGGAAGTTGTTCTGATTCCCTTGGTAGTTGTTCTTATGAGCAAAGCCTTGTTGGTTGTAGGGAACAAAAGACTTTTGTTGCATGCCTTGGCATTGAGAAGCACCTTAAGAAGGGTAGAATTGATATTGTGGATTAGCCACATTAGTGCTTCTATCATAGGAGAAGTTAGGATGGTTCCTATAGTTGTTGAAGCCACCACCTCCTTGGTTCATATAGAAAGCTTCTTTTTGAAGATCAAGTTCTTCTTCTTGGCTTGCTTGACCAGCTTCACCCACAAAGTTAACAGCCTTGAGTGAGGAGCTTAAAAGCTTATCAAGCTTCTCATGTAAAGCCTTTATCTCCTTCTTGGTGGCGCTATCACCCTCAGTAGTAGTGGACCTTGTTGTCCTATCATAATCCTCATTGTAGTTTCCATCTGAAAGAGCAAGGTTCTCCATTAACTAAAGTCCTTCCTCATTATCTTTACCCAAGAAGTTCCAATTACTAGCTGTATCCAGCAACATTCTGAACTTTGAGCTTTGTTTCCAAGGCTGAAAGGAGGGTCACTCACACCTTGTATCTTGGTCATTGTACAAATCCTATCAAACTGGTCCAAATGTTTTAGAGGGTCTTCTATTGGCAACCCATGAAACTTATTTGCTTGCACCATGTTGATGAGTCCCAACTTGATTTCAAAGTGATTTTGTTGAACTGGAGGGACAAAGATTCCATTTCTGTTGATGTAGGTGTTGAGGAGCATCAATAACTCTTATTTGCCTTGGAGCTCTTACACCATGTAAAGAACATCTTTCAAGATTAGGTCTAAGCAAGAAAGTAAACTTCAATACACCATTCCCCAAACATGGCAATGGCGCCAATTGACAAGCAGGTTTTTAGGGTTACTTAGTACAATCTCTATGCACTACTTGTAGTATAGAAGCAAAGAGTAATCAATCCAAGATTGGGAGGTGTAGAGAAGATAAAACTATCTTACTGAGCTAGGCTAATAATGGGGTTCAAAAGTGGTTCACACTCAACAATCAAGCAAGTGCAAACATGTAACCAAATAAAAAAAACACAAATACTAAAGACCAATGATTTAAAACTAAGCAAGAGCAATACTATGAGCAAACAAAACAGAGAAAAACAGAGCAAGTAATTAGCAAATTCGAATTATTAAAAGGCAAAGTTTAAGACTAAGGCAATATGACTTAGGTGGTTCCAAATCATGTTCAAGGTGAAGAAGAAACAATCAATGCATTAATCTCTAAGCAAAGACTACTAATTTAGATTAATCATATCCCTTAGCACTAATCTCTCTACTAATCACACTTCTAACTCACTTTTAATGGTGGAAGCTTAATCAGCAAGCACTAATTAACAAAGGCCATAGAGCCAAAAAGTACATTAGACAACTAATCCCTTAGGCTAAGCATATTAATCTCTTATGCAATAGATCAAACATCAACTCACATTCCCATGCATAATCAAAGTCTAATAGCGATTTTCCAGTCCTTTAAGTACTCTAGCATTAAGCTTAATCATGCAAAAAATGATAGATACAATGAGTCATGAAAATCAAAACACCATTTTCAAGCAATGAACCTCTTTCAAACATTTCATTAATCACCTAAGTGGCAACAAAATGTATATGATCTATTTTAGACAAAAGGGAGATACTTGGCATTAATAACAATCACACAAGAAGTGATAAACAATGATCTAACACCCTAACACCTTTAACAATCATTGAAACCACCCTAATCTACCTTAATTTCAAATCTAAAATTGACTACTCACTAATCATGTTTAAATCCATAAAAATATGGTTAAACAGAAACCTCAAAATCCAAACTTTGATCTTGAGAGAAAAGAGAAGTTTTTGCTACAAATGAAAGTTTTTAATAGAAAATGATAAGATATTTTCTGCAATTTAACTCATCACTTAAACAAAATTTGCAAATCAACTTGTAACCTTGAGAAAATGCAGGTCAAACTCTTAACCAGTGGTCAAACCGCAATACAACCTATTTGTAAATTTGCTGTTATATTATAGACAGCATGATAAACGTATCGTTTTTGGGAAGAGTTAAAATGCCAAACACTTCGCTGTTTTTAAAAGATGGTAAATATAAATGTTCTCAACAGACAACACTGTTTCCAAATAATGCACAACAATATCCAAATCAATTCCTAAATAAACAGAGAAATAGAAACCAAACTGGATTGACAGAATTTGATTGCAAATTCCATTTCTACGAGTTTTTAAAATCATAATTTTTGTAGAATTCTTTGAAGAGATCCAAGAAAAAGTTTAGTTAAAAGTAAACTGATAATTGCTAACACATTATGCTTTTCCATTATAAAAGTGGAAGATGGAGCAGAGTTAGAGGATATCGGTTTCTCCACCGATTTGGCCGTTGCAGCTTTAACAGCCACCAGTAGGGGTTCCATCCAAAAATCCACTGACTAGATATCAAACTCAACCGATTTCTCCGCCCCAATTTCAAAATCTTAATCCCCATCATTAGTGATGACTTTAACAACCACCTCAAGCTGTCATCATCCCACCTCACACTCTCGACACATCATAGCTCAAGATCGACTCAAATCTCTTGCTTCTCTCCTCTGCTCCGCCGTCGACTCCAACCGCCTCCCTTCCATTATTTTCTGGGGTCCACTTTGCATTGGCAAGACCTCAGTTGTCAAATCTCCCATCAATTGCAGCAAGGATCCGTCTCAGTATCGCTTAGTATCCTTGCTTGTGGTTACGTTAAAGATGTTGGAGATGCCGTCGAAAGTGCCAAGAAGTTTAATCTGGAAAGTAAAAAGTGGATTGTGTTGTTTATGGATGAAGTTTCATCGGTTTAACAAGTCTCAACATGATTCTTTTTTGCATGTCATTGAAGATGGCAGTATCCTCTCCACTGGAGCCACTTCTGAGAATCCATCTTTCCATTTGATCACTCATTTGCCATAATTTTCTAATTTTCCCAAATTCGATTTTAAATTGAAACATAAATGAATGACACGTAGTTTTTTTGGTGTGAACGACATAAAATGTTAATATTTATTCTGTTTTCTACTTTAATGAAACATAGTGTTTTATATTCTGTTTGATTCACCAATGATGTTTATCAATGCCACATCATCAGTATACACACATACTATATTGCAGATTTACTATTAGATGAGGGGTTGACCTGCATTTTCTCAAAGTCATGGGTTGTTTTGTAAATTTTGTTTAGGTGATGGGTTAAATTGTAGAAAAGCATAAGGTAAGATTTTTTTAGGCCTAGCCTATTTATAGGGAAGTTCCAAAATAGGCTTGGTCAACTAATAAAACCTAGTCAATAAAAAGTCAACTTGCTGAAAAACATTCGGATTACTCATATTGAGTAGGGAAGATGTTGGCTTTCCACGGTGTGTTTGCTTGCTGCGTACTAAAGATGCTGCGTCGGATGCTTAGCTCGGCTGAAGTCTCGACTGTGGTATGCATCGTGCACAGCTCGGATCGCTCTCCTCGGTGTACCTCCACGATATGTCCTATGTCTTCATGCATCGAGCTCGGATAGCTGAACCTCCATGGTGTAGTTGCTCATTGCAGCCTTTAGTTCAGTGCCCTCGACGATGCACCTCCATGGTGTGAACTCTAGACGATTAGAAAGACTTGTTTCCAGCATGGTTTCTCCTCTCCACTCGATCCACCATTCATAGTGCCTCTATTAACTCCTCAAATGCCGTGAAATACAATCAAAATGAAATGATGTATGCATTCATAATCTATATGCATCATATGTCTAAAATAGATGTAAATCAAACACTTTGGACTAAACATGGACAAAATAAAGTGAAAACCTATACCAAATGGTGCCTAATATGATGTAATAATGCATACTATCAAATAGCATCGTTTGAGCCATTAAAAACTATGTCTTTTACCATTAGGTCGGTAATGTCCTTCTCGTCTTTTTTCTTTCCCAAGCATCTGACACTAAACCCTTGTCTGGGACCACATAAAAAATGGCGATACAGTCGTCTCCGGTACCAATGACTGTGTTACAGATGTGAATGTTGCTAGGGAAACCGAACTTGATACCACAACATTTGGGCTATCGCCGGGAGCTGTTGTAGTGACGTCGCTAATGTAGAAATGGTGGACAAAGAAGAAGTTGAAATGTCCTATTTTACTGTTGAGTGATGTTGTCCTCTTGATTCTTGAATTATTCATGACGGCGAATCCCATAGTCAACAAAAATATTCAAGATTAGCTAGACTTGAATATAACATATCATTAAGTTTTTATGTAAATATTATCTTTTTAAAACTATTTTCCCATTATTTATTATCATTTCGTATAATAAGTAATTGAATCTAATATTGTATCTGGTGTAACCATATATATGCATGAACTATATTTTTTCATTGTAATACGGTTTAAAATCAAATAATAACGATAACTATTAAATATATAATAGGATTAGGAAATGGTACCATAGCTAATTTAGGACAGTTGCTGTTTTTGTGGCAGTCATTGAGTGGCCCAAATTGCTTTCCTTGACAGTTGAGTGTACCGGCACCAGAGATATAGAGATCATTTATGTATCTAAAGTTGATACACATGTCCTTTTTAATGTCCCTAGGATTTGCAGAAGCAAACAGAGTTCCCTTAGTAACAAATTCAATCTGATTTTTGCATGGCCCCACAAACTCTACACCACTGAGATAGAATATTCATTTTGGTACTTATATTTTAGTACTTCCATTCATCCTTCTACATGCAGTTTTCCATACATTTTCGAAGGCCTAATATTGTATGCGATTAGAATTAGTAGTTAAGTTAACAGTTGCCATGTACGTATATTTGCATTATCAGTTTCTCCGTCAAATTTAGCACTATAACATTTAACATTAAAAACCTTTGGCCTATTGGTTGTACGAGTACTTGCAATTGTGACAAACAACATAGACAAACACAAAGCCTTAAACGCTGAAGAAATGCAACCCATCTTCTTATTTTGTTTAAGGCTGAGTATATTAAAATTACAAATGTGTAGGTGATTTATAATTTTTTGTTCTAAGACAGAATGAGAAGTGTTGGCTCACTCTTTCTCTTTATATAAAGTTGATATACATGGATTAACTGTTAGATTTAATATAAAAAAATTTTTGTTACTAATTATCAGTAAAAAGTTGAGTTTTTTCTTTTATAATGATTTTGATTGGTTACTTTCTTGTAATCTAGATTTTCAAATTTATATAATTTTATTTTTTCCTTTCTTTTTAAAACAGAATCTTAATTTTGGTGAAAAGCGAATTCAATTTACCAGTAAACTTGTTAAACTTATTTCTCTTAATGATTTGAAATAATTCCATTTCATAGACAACAATAAGTCATAATCAAGTAAAATGATAACAAACTAAAATAAAATGATAATATCAGTCAACCAATTAGGTATGTTGCCAATGTGACATGCGTTTAATTAACACATAAAAATATTAGTATATGATAATTAAATATTTCATTTGATGAAGTTTAATATCCTATGTATGTTGGTTAATGTAGCACATTTTATATTTCTCGATGCATAAGTATAGGCCTTAATCAAAAGATAAGCGTCAATCATGAAAGATACCATACATGGTTATTTGATAATATATATATATATATATATATATATGTTAATATCATATGATATTTGTTCATGAATACTTGTATTTAAAAAAAAAAACTATTAAGCTTTGATGTATATAATATTTACAAAAAAGACTTATTTAGCCTTACATATACAGATTTTTAAATAACTTGTCTGTTTATGACACATGTCATCTATATAAATATATATAAATATTTAATATGTTAAACAATGATATACATTTTTGTAGAAATAACAGATGAATAGTAAAACATTTATCCATCCTTATTATTGAACTTAATATCACATAACTAATATTTGTCGCATACATAACTGGTTTCATGCCATCCACTAGATCCATCAACTTTGATAAACATATAATGGATGATGAAGAATGTCTGAATGTGTGATATTTCTACTGAATATAGGTAAGTTTCTCAGAATGGAGAGGGTCTAACTTGTTTAGGTGGACACAAGTCACAAGTGCGAGTCATATGCATGCAACACTTGTGACATATATTATGTGAATGACTATATAGTATAAAGTCATATCTCCTTCTTACTTATATCCCCTAAGCAATCTGAGAATTAGGTCACTGAAAAATTGTTTGTGAGAAAGAAAGTATAGTTGTACAGAGACAAATGAGCTCGAGGTTAAGACAAGCCTTAAGTGAGATCCAAATTCCAGCAAGACGTAAATGTGAATTTGCTCTGATCACGCTATATATTTTGTCTCTCTTTTAATGTTTTCATTTTTCTGATTTGTTTTACAAGTTCTTCAAATCGATATTAGTTGATCAAGAAGGTATATTTTCATCAGAAAATTATATAAGGTTTATACTAGACATATGATAACAAATAATTAAAATATGTGTTTTGTTGTTTGTGCTGATTATCCTCTTCAAGTTGTAAGTGAATTAAATGTTTTTAACTCACTGTGTCCAATCTAGATATCCTTTTGAAAAATTATTTTGCATGATGAATATTTTTGTTGTCGAAAAAAATATAAACCACAAACAAAAAAAAAGTATCTTTACATCTTTATTGTACTATAAAAAAACTTTTCGCAAACTAATAAAAGAAGAAGAAATGTACATATCTATACAAAAGTGGGAAATTATACAAATATAAAAACATCAAATCCCTACCATCCAATTAACCCATAAAATGTTGGGAAACCATCTTACCATGAGCAGAACCGTCAACATTCTCTCACACTGCAGTGGAAGGACCATCATCAACTCCATTATGCTCTATGTTAATGTTAATTAGCTCTACATTCTTCCACGGAATGCTCTTGCTGCATTGTAGGTTCACTACCACTTTGTTCATCGACGTCCCATATATATTCTTTAACTTAAGGTCTTGTATCTGAACGTGAGAAACTCCCTGAAAGAATAACAGAACATAACTTTCTTTCTTTAATTATTTATGTTAGTGAGGTGTAAGTAAAAGAAAATGAAGTTTCTCATGTAGAAAGCGAACCTTCTTTTCACAAGGTGTGTGAGAACAATATTTCTGATCGATGTTGATTGGTTTTCAAACATTAATCATTTGAATATTCTCGAGCACAAAGTCAGAAACAATGATCTTCGAAGCTGAGATTCCCAAGTCTTGATTTGAATACCATCGATTGTGCTGTTAAAAACTATGTCTCTGAACGTTAGGTCGGTAACATCCTTCTCGTCTTGGTTCTTCCCCAAGCTTCCGACACTAAGCCCATGCCCGGGACCACATTTGACGTTAGAAATATCCATGTTAGTGTTTCCAGAAAGAGTGGCGATACAGTCGTGTCTGGTACCGATGAGTGTGTTAGAGATGTGAATGTTGCTAGAGAATCCGAACTTGATACCATCGGTATTTGGGCTATCACCGGGAGCTGTTATTGTGACGTCACTAACGTTGAAGTGATGGACGAAGAAGAAGTCGAAGTGTCCCACTTTACTGTTGAGTGATGTTATCCCATTGATTCTTGAATTGTTCACGAAAGCAAATCCCAAGATCTACGAAAATATTCAAGATTAGCTAGACTTGAATATAACATATCATTTAGTTTTTTATGTAAATATTATCTTCTTTAAAACTATTTTCGCATTATTTAGTATTATTTTGTATAATAAGTAATTGAATCTAATATTTTTTTGGTCTAAGCATAAATATGCATGAACTACATTTTTTCAATATAATACGGTTTGAAATAAATTAATAATCATAATTAGTAAATATATAATATGATTAGGAATGGTACCATAGCTAATTTAGGACAGTTGGTGTTTTTGTGGCAGTTATTGAGTGGCTAAGACTGCTTTTTTTGACCGTTGAGTGTACCGGCACTGGAGATATAGAGATCATTTATGTATCTAATGTTGATCCATGTGTCCTTCTTAATGTCTCTATATATAATTATATTTCTTTCTTACTTTTTAAAACAGAATCTTAATTTTGGTGAAAAGCAAATTAAATTTAGCAGTAAACTTGTTAAACTTATTACTATTAATGATTTGTTGAAATAATTTCAATTAATATGACATGTAAACAACAATAAGTCATAATCAAGTAAAATGGTAACAAACTAAAATAAAATGATAATATCAGTCAACCAATTAGATATGTTGAAAATGTGATATGCGTTTAATTAACACATGAAAATCTTAGTATATGACAATTAAATATTTTATTTGATGAGGTTTAATATACTATGTATTTTGGTTACTGTGGCACTTTTTTTATTTCTCGATGCATAAGTATAGGCCTTAACAAACAGATAAGCTGCAATCATGAAAGATAACATATATTGCTATTTGATAAAATATATATATATATATATATATATGTCAATATCATATGATATTTGTTAAAGAATGCTTGTATTTACAAGAAAAATATTTAGCTTTAATGTATATAATATTTGCACAAAAAAAAAACTGATTTAGCCTTAGATATACAGATTTTTTTATAACTTGTCTGTTTATGACACATGTCATCTATATAAATACACATAAATATTTAACAGGTTAAACAATGATATATGTTTTTGTAGAAATAATAGATGAATAGTAAAACATATATCCATCCATATTAATGAAACTAATATCACATACTAATATATGTCGCATACATAAATGGTTTCATGCCATCCACTAGATCCATCAACTTTAATAAACATATATGGATGATGAAGAATGTATGAGTATGTGATATTTCTATTGAATATAGGTAAGTTTCTAAGAATGAAGAGGGTCTAACCTGTTTAGGTGGACACAAGTCACAAGTGCAAGTCATATGCCTGCATCATGTGTGATATATATCATGTGAATGACTATATAGTATGAAGTCATATCTCCTTCTTACTTATATCCCCTAAGCGATCTGAGAATTAGGTCATTGAAAAATTGGGTTTCGTGGGAAATAAAGTATCGTTGTGCATAAACAAATGAGCTCGAGGTTAAGACAAGCTTTAAGTGAGATCGAAATTCCAGCAAGACGTAAATGTGGATTTCCTCTGATCACTCTATATATTGTGTCTCTCTTTTAATGTTTTCATCTTCCTTATTTCTTTTACAAGTTCTTCAAACCGATATTAGTTGATCAAGGAGGTAGATTTTCATCAGAAAATTATGTAAGGTTTATACTAGAAATATGACAACAAATAATTAAAATATTTTCTTGCTGTTTGTGCTGATAATCCTCTTCAAGTTGCAAGTGAATTAAATGTCTTTAACTCACCGTGTCCAATCTAGATATCCTTTTGAAATTTTATTTTGCATGATGAATATTTTTGTTGTCGAAAAAAATATAAACCACAAAAAAAAATGTACCTTTACATCTTTATTGTAATATAATTTTTTTTTTTTTGCAAACTAACAAAAGAAGAAAAAATGTACATATCTATACAAAAGTGGGAAATTATAAAAATATAAAAAATAAAATCCCTACCATCCAATTAACGCATACAATGTTGGGGAACCATCTTGCCATGTGCAGAACCGTCAACATTCTCACACATTGCAGTGGACAGACCATCATCAACTCCATTATGCTCTATGTTAATGTCAATTAGCACTACATTCTTGCACAGAAAGCTCTTGCTGCATTATAGGTTCACTACCACTTTGTTCATCGATGTCCCATATATGTTCTTTAACTTAAGGTCTTGTATCTGAACGTGAGAATCTCCCTGAAAGAATAACAGAACACAACTTTCTTTCTTTAATTATTTATGTTAGAGAAATGTAAGTAAAGTAAAATGAACTTTTTTCTCGTGTAGAAAGCAAACCTTCTTTTCACAAGGTGGGTGAGGACAATACTTCTGATCGATGTTGATTAGTTTTTCAACATTAATCATTTGAATATTCTCGAACACAAATTTAGAAATAATGATCTTCAAAGCCGAAGAATCCCAAGTCTTGATTCGAATACCATCGCTTGTGCCGTTAAAAACTATGTCTTTTACCGTTAGGTCGGTAACATCCTTCTCGTCTTGGTTCTTCCCCAAGCTTCTGACACTAATCATATGTCTGGGACCCCATTTGACGTTGGAAATATCCATGTTAGTATTTACAAAAAAATGGTGATACAGTCGTCTCCGGTACCGATGACTGTGTTAGAGATGTGAATGTTGCTAGAGAAACCGAGCTTGATACTATCGGTATTTGGGCTATCGCCGGGAGCTGTTATAGTGATGCCACTAATGTTGAAGTGATGGACGGAGAAGAATTTGAAGTGTCACATTTTACTGTTGAGTGAGGTTATCCTATTGATTCTTGAATTGGTCACGAAAGCAAATCCCATGGTCTACGAAAATATTCAAGATTGGCTAGACTTAGATATGACATATCATTTAGTTTTTATGTAAATATTATCTTTTTTAAAACTATTTTCCCTTTTATTTAGTATTATTTTGTATGATAAGTAATTGAATCTAATATTTTTTTTGGTGTAAGCATAAATATGCATGAACTACATTTTTTCATTATAATACGGTTTAAAATCAACTAATAATCATAACTAGTAAATTTATAATATGATTAGGAATGGTACCATAGCTAATTTAGGACAGTTGATGTTTTGTGGCAGTCATTGAGTGGCCAAGACTGCTTTCCTTGGCCGTTGAGTGTACCGGCACCGGAGATATAGAGATCATTTATGTATCTAAAGTTGATCCATGTGTCCTTCTTAATGTCCCTCGGGTTTGCAGGAGCCAATAGAGTTCCATCGATGACAAATTCAATCTGATTTTTGCCTTGCCCCACGAACTCTACACCACCAAGATAGAATATTCCTTTGGTACGTATATTTTACTACTTCCACTCATCCTTCCACAGGCGCTTTTCCATACATTTTCGAAGGCCTAATATTGTACGCATTAAGAATTAGTAGATAAGTTAATAATAATATATAAAAATACAATATATATATATGTGTGTGTATTTCTATATTTGTCATGTACATACATTTGCATTATCAATTTCACCGTCAGATTGAGCACCAAACCGTTTGATATTGAAAACCTTTGGCGTATTGTCTGTACAAGTATTTGCAACAGTGACAAACAACATAGACGAACACAAAGCCTTAAACGCCGAAGCAATGCAAGCTATCTTCTTATTTTGTTTAAGGCCGAGTATATTGAAATTACAAATATGTAGATGATTTATAAATGCTTGTTCTAAGACAGAATGAGAAGTGTTGGCTCACTCTCTCTCCTTATATAGAGTTGATATATATGGATTAACTGTTAGATTTAATATAAAAAGAACTCGATTTTTGTAACTAATTATCGGTTAAAAATTGAGTTGTTTTGTTTATAATGATTTTGATTGGTTACTTTCTTGTATTCCAGATTTTCAAAAGTATATAATTTCGTTTTTTTCTTTCTTTTTAAAACAGAATCTTAATTTTGGTGAAAAGCAAATTAAATTTAGCAGTAAACTTGTTAAACTTATTACTATTAATGATTTATTGAAATAATTCCAATTAATATGACATGTAAACAACAATAAGTCATAATCAAGTAAAATGGTAACAAACTAAAATAAAATGATAATATCAGTCAACCAATTAGATATGTTGAAAATGTGACATGCGTTTAATTAACACATGAAAATCTTAGTATATGACAATTAAATATTTCATTTGATGAGGTTTAATATCCTATGTATGTTAGTTAATGTAGCACTTTTTCTATTTCTCGATGCATAAGTATATGCCATAATCAACAGATAAGCGGCAATCATGAAAGATACCATATATGGCTACTTGATAATATATATATATATACATATATATATATATATGTGTGTGTCAATACCATATGATATTTGTTAATCAATGCTTGTATTTACAAGAAAACTATTAAGCTTTGATGTACATAATATTTACAAAAAGACTTATTTAGCCTTACCTATACATATTTTTTCATAACTTGTCTGTTTATGGCACATGTCATCTATATAAATACACATAAATATTTAACAGGTTTAACAATGATATATTTTTTTGTAGAAATAATAGATGAATAGTAAAACATTTATCCATCCATATTAATGAAACTAATATCACATAACTAATACTTATCGCATACATAAATGGTTTCATGCCATCCACTAGATCCATCAACTTTAATAATCATATATGGATGATGAAGAATGTTTGAATGTGTGATATTTCTACTGAATATAGGTAAGTTTTTAAGAATGGAGAGGGTCTAACCTGTTTAGGTGGACACAAGTCACAAGTACAAGTCATATGCCTACAACACGTGTGATATATATTATGTGAATGACTATATAGTATAAAGTCATATCTCTTTCTTACTTATATGCCCTAAGCGATCTGAGATTTAGGTCATTGAAAAATTGGGTTTTGTGAGAAATAAAGTATAGTTTTACAGAGGCAAATGAGCTCGAGGTTAAAACAAGCTTTACGTGAGATCCAAATTCTAGCGTGATGTAAAAGTGTATTTGCTCTGATCACACTATATATTTTTTCTCTCTTTTAATGTTTTTATTTTCCTTATTTCTGTTACAAGTTCTTCAAATCGATATTAGTTGATCAAGGAGGTAGATTTTCATCAGAAAACTATGTAAGGTTTATACTGGATATATGACAATAAATAATTAAAATATGTGTTTTGTTGTTTGTGCTGATTATCCTTCTCAAGTTGTAAGTGAATTAAATATCTTTATCTCACTGTGTCCAATCTAGATATCCTTTTGAAAAATTATTTTGCATGATAAGTATTTTTGTTCTCGAAAGAAAATTATAAACCACAAATAAACAATTACCTTTACATCTTTATTGTACTATAAAAAAACTTTTCGCAAACTAACAAAAGAAGAAGAAATGTACACATCTATTCAAAAGTGGGAAATTATACAAATATTAAAACATAAAATCCCTACCGTCCAATTAACGCATACAATGTTGGTGAACCATCTTACCATGAGCAGAACTGTCAATATTCTCACACACTGCAGTGGAAGGACCATCATCAACTCCATTATGCTCTATGTTAATGTTAATTAGCTCTACATTCTTGCACGAAGAGCTCTTGCTGCATTGTAGGATCACTGCCACTTTGTTCTTCGACGTCTTATATATGTTCTTTAACTTAAGGGCTTGTATCTGAACGTGAGAATCTCCGTGAAAGAATAACATAACAAAGTTTCTTTCTTTAGTTATTTATGTTAGAGAGATGTAAGTAAAGTAAAGTGACCTTTTTCTCGTGTAGAAAGCGAACCTTCTTGTCACAAGGTGGGTGAGGACAATATTTCTTATCGATGTTGATTGGTTTTCATTTGATGAGGTTTAATATCCTATGTATGTTGGTTAATGTAGCATTTTTCCTATTTCTCGATTCATATGTATATGCCTTAATCAACAGATAAACTGCAATCATGAAAGATAACATATATGGCTATTTGATAATATATATATATATATATATATAATATGTCAATATCATATGATATTTGTTAATGAATGCTTATATTTACAAGAAAATTATTAAGTTTTGATGTATATGATATTTGCAAAAAAAGACTTATTTAGCCTTACATATACAGATTTTTTCATAACTTGTCTGTTTATGACACATGTCATCTATATAAATACACATAAATATTTAACAGGTTAAACAATTATATATATTTTTGTAGAAATAATAGATGAATAGTAAAACATTTATCCATCCATATTAATGAAACTAATATCACATAACTAATATTTGTCGCATACATAAATGGTTTCGTGCATCCACTAGATCCATCAATTTTAATAAACATATATGGATGATGAAGAATGTCTGAATGTGTAATATTTCTACTGAATATAGGTAAGTTTCTAAGAATGGAGAGGGTCTAACCTGTTTAGGTGGACACAAATCACAAGTGCAAGTCATATGCATGCAAGACGCGTGACATATATTATGTGAATGACTATATAGTATAATGTCATATCTGCTTCTTACTTATATCCCCTAAGCGAACTGAGAATTAGGTCAATGAAAAATTCAGTTTTGTGAGAAAGAAAGTATAGTTGTACAGAGACAAATGAGCTTAAGGTTAAGGCATGCTTTAAGAGAGATCCAAATTCCAGCGAGAAGTAAATGTGGATTCGTTCTGATCACACTATATATTTTTTCTCTCTTTTAATGTTTTCATTTTCTTTATTTCTTTTACAAGTTCTTCAAATCATTATTATTTGATCAAGGAGGTAGATTTTCATCAGAAAATTATGTAAGGTTTATACTAGAAATATGACAACAAATAATTAAAATATTTTTTTTGTTGTTTGTGCTGATAATCCTCTTCAAGTTGTAAGTGAATTAAATATCTTTAACTTACTGTGTCCAATCTAGATATCCTTTTGAAAAATTATTTTGCATGATGAGTATTTTTGTTGTCGAAAAAAAAAAATAATCAACAAACAAGTACCTTTACATTTTATTGTACTATAAAAAAAACTTTTCGCAAACTAACAAAAGAAGAAAAAGTGTACATATCCATACAAAAGTGAGAAATTATACAATTAAAACATCAAATTCCTACCGACCAATTAACCCATACAAAGTTGAGGAACCATCTTACCATGAGCAGAACCGTCAACATTCTCACACACTGCAGTGGAAGGACCATCATCAACTCCATTATGCTCTATGTTAATGTCAATTAGCACTACATTCTTGCACGGAGAGCTCTTGCTGCATTGTAGGTTCACTGCCACTTTGTTCTTCGACGTCCCATATATGTTCTTTAACTTAAGGTCTTGTATCTGAACGTGAGAATCTCCACGAAATAAAAACAGAACACAGCTTTCTTTCTTTAATTATTTATGTTAGTGAGATGTAAGTAAAGTAAAATGAACTTTTTCTCATGTAGAAAGTGAGCCTTCTTTTCACAAGGTGGGTGAGAACAATACTTCTGATCGATGTTGATTGGTTTTCCAACATTAATGCACAAAGTTAGAAAAACTGATCTTCGAAGCTGAAGATTCCCAAGTCTTGATTCGAATACCATCGCTTAGGCTGTTAAAAACTATGTCTTTTACCGTTAGCTCGGTAACATCATTCTCGTCTTTGTTCTTCCCCAAGCTTCCAACAATAATCCCATGTCTGGGACCACATTTGACGTTTGAAATATCCATGTTAGTGTTTCTAGAAAGAATGGCAATACAGTTGTCTCCTGTACCGATGACTGTGTTAGAGATGTGAATGTTGCTAGAGAAACCGAGCTTGATACCATCAGTATTTGGGCTATCACCGGGAGCTGTTATACCATCAGTATTTGGGCTATCACCGGGAGCTGTATCCGGTACCGATGAGTGTGTTAGAGATCCTCCATGATCTACTCCAAGATGTCATCTATATAAACACACATAAATATTTAACAAGTTAAACAAGGCTATGTCTTTTTGTAGCAATAATAGATGAATAGTAAAACATTCATTAATCCATTTTAATGATACAAATATCGCATAAATAATATTTGTTGCATACATAAATGGCTTCATGCCATCCACTAGATCCATCAACTTTAATAAACATATATGGATGATGAAGAAAGTCTGAATGTGTGATATTTCTACTGAATATAGGTAAGTTTCTAAGAATGGAGAGGGTCTAACCTATTTAGGTGGACACAAGTCACAAGTGCAAGTCATATGCCTGCAACACATGTGACATATATTATATGAATGACTATATAGTATAAAATCATATCTCCTTCTTTTTTATATCACTTAAGCGATCTAAGAATTACATCACTAAAAGACTGGGTTTTGTGAGGGAGAAAGTATAGAGACAAATGAGCTCGAGGTTAAGACAAGCTTTTAGTGAGATTCAAATTCTAGCGAGACATAGATGTGGATCTGCCCTGTTTACGCTATCTATGTTATCTCTCTTTTAATGTTTTCATTTTCCTTGTTTCTTTTACAAGTTCTTCAAATCGATATTAGTTGATCAACGAGGTAGATTTTGATCGAAAATTATGTAAGGTTTATACTGGACATATGATAATAAATAATTAAAATATGTGTTTATTGTTTGTGCTGATTATCCTCTTCAAGTTGTAAGTAAATTAAATGTCTTTAACTCACTGTGCCCAATCTAGATATCCTTTTGAAATATATTTCTGCATAATGAGTATTTTGTTTATCGAACACAAAATATAAACCACAAACAAAAAAATGCCTTAACATCTTGGAGAATTGCTGAAAATGACCTAAAAGTTGAGTTTTTTTCTAAATGTAAAGACTCCCTATTGAATGTCTGGCAAAAGTAATCCAAATGGATAGTGAAATTATAAATTCGTCCTTTATAACTTAACAAAAAGTATTTGCCAGAATTACTGTTTTATCCTTGTGACGTCTACTTACAAAGACAATATGTCCGTAGACCGAGAGCCTTGCAGGGTGTGGGGGACAGGACATACCGAGCAAGTGCACCGACGAGACCATACCATGCACTGCTCGGTACGTCTTGAAGCAAGACAGCCAACCAACATCACCGAGCCAGAACGTCTGGGACAAGCATCAGAATGCACCGACGAGGCGCACCGATGAGAACCATCCTATCCTTCCTTGGTACAAACTTATCCGGAAGAAGAGTTGACTTTTTGTAGACCACTTATGTTTAGTTGACCATGGCGTTTTTGGGGTATGTCCTATAAATAGCCTAGACCTAAAATCATTTCTTCTTATCCTTTCTTTTGCCCCCAAAGCTTGTGCTTAGGTTTTTCTTAGATCTAGAACAAATCGTTTGCAGGGTAAGAGATTGGATCACTTGTATATACTTTTGTTTAAGCTTTTAATCTTCAGTCTTTAATCTTTTAGTTTTGCTTTCTTATTTGTTCTTGCTTTAGTAATTTCGAATTTCTGTTCTTGAATTTTGAGGTTCTTGATTTTTGATGAGCAAAAGGCTTTCTTTGATGTTTAAGAATGATTAGGGTGTTAGACCTTTTATTAGCTCTTCTTATGTGATTGTGATTAATGATTAGCACCACCCTCTTGAGAAATAGATTATAGGCATTTTAGTATTGCACTTAGGGTGTTTGTTAAAATGACTGAAAGAAGCTTTGGTTGATATCATATCTTGCTTAACTTGAGCTTATTGCTAAAGTACTTTAGGGAATGGGAAATTGTCTTTAGACATTGATTATGCATTGCAAGTGTGAGTTATTGTCTGATCCATTGCATAAGAGATTAGTAAGCTTAGCAGTTCTAAGATGCTTTTTGGCTTTTTGGCTCTATGGAATTTGTGTTTAATACTTGTTTATTATATTTCCACCATTGAGCTTATTGCTGAAGTACTTTAGGAAATGGGAAATTGTCTTTAAACATAGATTAGGCATTGCAAGTGTGAGTTATTGTCTGATCCATTGCATAAGAAATTAGTAAGCTTAGCAGTTCTAAGATGCTTTTTAGCTCTATGGACTTTGTGTTTAATACTTGCTGATTATATTTCCACCATCGAAAGTGGGTTAGGAGTGTGATTAGTAGAGGGATAAGCGCCAAGAGATTGGGTTAGTCTTTATTAGTAGTCATTGCTTAGAGTTTAATGCATTGGTCTTTGCTTGAAAGCTTTGTTCTTGATTTGGATTCACCTTGTAAATCATTTAGTCTTGAACCTCTATTTTCTAGCTTGCATTTCTTGTTTTAGGTTGTTAGCTTTCTTTTTCCTTTGTCTTCTTCTTTGTTCACCTTAAGTTGTCCGATTTCAAACCCTTTTATATGTTTAGGCCTAACTTAGCAATTTTTCTGCATCTCATATGTTCCTTAGCCCTTGGATTAGATTGATAGCCTTTTTATACTACAATGGCAAGTGTAGAGAGGTATTGAAAGATACCACCAAAAACACTTCTTTCATATATACGGTTTATATTGCTGTACATAATACTTGGTTAAGGGCACTGGAATGTATGGTTTATTAGTTTAATTAGATCTGTTTATAAGTCAACATGTATATAAAGCTTGCGACAACTTTTGTTATTCTAGAAGATACATATTTCCGTTTACACTTCTTCTCTCGTCGATGTGTAAACAGTAATATGGTACAGAGCATTTTTCCGCTAATTTTCTTCTATTTTTCTCAGATTCTTCATTTTTCCTTTGATTTCACTTATTGATTGTTGTTCTGAAGCCGAATCTATGATCAATTTAACCTCGAGAGTGCTCAAATCACCTTTGGGAGCTCAGTTCTTGGTTTGCGATAAATATTTGTTCTTTGATCTTTAAAAATTGTGAAAGTCAACAGTAAAACTCGAAACCGTGTGTATTCATCTTTGGAAAAGTCGCCAATGCAAGATCTTCCAGCTGAAGACACCATCGCGATCACTCTACATCACTGCTTTGTGACAAATCGAGCTCGATCTACACATTTTCCAGCGAAATTCGAATCCTACGACAATGTTCACAGTCCATACTTCCTTCACTCAGGCGATAATCCAGGTCTGTCAATCGTCACTCACATGCTTGATTGTACAAATTACAACAGTTGGTACATGATATCTCCATTATTTATACCATTTTAGCTTGCATTCATCACTAGTTTTAGTTTTTAAACATGCATATTTTGCTTCTTCTTGTCCAATTTGCATACATTTAGGAGTTAGTGTAGTTTTAGGAGTTGCATTGCATTTTGCATGCTTTAAAGTTTTATTCAGGTACTAGAAGGAGTTTGGAGACCAAGTGGTGTAATGGATGTGAGCTGGGAATGGAGCAAGGAGAAAGACAAGGTCGGATGAGCCAGTATCGATGACGATATCGATGCGATCTGATCGATATGGAGCATATCGAAGTGAATAACGACCACTTCAAGTCGATACAGCGAGAGCATTGTGTAAAGGCAGCATATCGACTAAGGAAGACCTCGATACACCATAAAGAAGCCCATACCGAGCAGTGTATCGATGTTCCATACCGATACACCAGAAACAGGACAATACCGAGGTACCATATCGACGTGTCTGCCCGATAAGCCTTAACTTAAGGGCGATTGTATCGACTTCACACCGATGAGAGTCAAACTGATACATTCTTGAAGCCTTGCATATCGACACCCATATCGACCAGGCCATGTTGAAACAACCCACAAGAAGACTTAATATCGATGTGTATATCGATGTACATGGCCGATATGGTCTATCCGAGTCAGCTTATTTTCGGTTTGTTCTTGGTTTATTAATTATCTTCTGTTCTTGCTTTAAAAATGTTTCCTCTTTCAGCTTTGCTTTATAAGAACTAGTTTGATTTAGTGAAATTCTGCATTTCCCTTTAATCTATTCTTGCTTATTCTGCTTTCTAATCATGCTTAACCATCATTTCTTTTGATTATGGCTAGTGAGTAGTCTTATTTAGGGTTTGAGATGGGATAGATTAGAGGGGTTTTATGATTAGATTAGTGATGTCTTATGCTTAATATGATTGTCTTCTCTCTATTAAATCTGCTTAACACTAGCTTAGTCTTGACCAGCCTTGTTTAATATCTTGGCTTTCTCTTATACCTGATAAGTGTTTGATAAAATGCTGCAATGAGTCTTTTAGAGGATTTCTTCTCTTAGCCTAAGGAATTAGATGTCTAAGGTGCATTTTGGCTTTATAGGATTAGAGTTCTGTTTTAAATGCTTGCTGATCATGTGTTTGAGTAAAGGAATTTGTCTTGATTATGTGCTTAGCAAAGTGATTAGTATCAAGGAATTGATCTAGTTATAGATGTTAATCCTATGCTTAGAAGATAGCATTATTTGAATGGTTTTGAAGCATCACTAGTTTAGTTCTAATCCCCTCTTAGTCAATAACCCCCATTTTAGATCCTTGCTTTAATTTGAATTTCCTGCCTTAAATTTGTGGTGCTTAGTCTTGTTTAGATTAATCACAACTGCTTTCTTGAATTTGGCTTGACTTAAGTGATTTGCTGAATTCCTAGTGTCTTATGAACTCAGATGGATTGATACCTTTTATACTACAATGACTTGAGTGTGTTAGGATTTGATTAGCTAGACAAAATCCTGCTATCAGTACATAGCTATGCGTATGAGTTTAGATGCAAAAAATAAGATTGGCATCATTGATGGAACTCTACCTAGACCGGATCTTGATGATGAGATGTTTAAGATCTAGAGTAGATGTAATAGTATGGTGAAGTCTTGGGTGCTGAATGTAGTGAATAAGGAGATATATGATAGCATTTTGTATTATGAAGATGCGATGGAGATGTGGAATGACCTGTTTCTACAGTTTTGAGTCTTTAATCTTCCAAGAATGTACCAACTAGAGCAACCTATCGCATCTCTCAAGCAATTGAACCTTGACCTTTCCACGTAGTACACGAAGAATAAATCATTGTG